GCATGGTAACTGAATCATTAGGGGGCTACCAAGGCTGGCAGTTAAATGTCTCTGATCGAGCATGTAGTATCATAGAGTAGTACTGATACTACATAAATAGTTCCATTAGGTCAGTATTTAATCCTACATACTATAATTAATATCACTCATTTCAGTGACAGTCCTGAGGCATCACTTAGTTATAAGTTTAACAATGTTAACAATGAATATCTATATTCTGTAATAAAATACACACAACCAAAATGGGTCAGTGATCAATTTCAGAGACAAAAGAAAGAATTTGTTTTTACATAATATGGAAGTCAGGCTTCAGTCGTAAGGCATTCCTATCTAAGCTTTTCAAAAATCTCAATGTAGTACAATAACCTATCTCTATGTGTCTCAATTATTAAGCTGCCCAGATTGAGTATCCACTTGTAAGTCGCTGGACAGGAATTCCATGCTTCAACATGATTTTTATGTGTCCACTTGGCCCTCCAAATAGTTCTGTGAGGCTGTGGTATCAAAAGCTTCTCTTCAGATTTGTCCAAAATGGGATCTAAGTTACTGTTGGAATGGATTTTGGAATTAGAGCCTTTATCATTCTTGTTGTGATTGCCTTTGTGGTCCAACGGCGTCTCGGGCTGAAGGATGAGTTTAGAGCCATACTTCGCCAGACTTGCCTGGACATTTTTCAAATCTGCCGCCCAGTTTATCTTCTGAGTCTTGAATGTCTTCCTCTGCAATCTCCTGCCAATCTGGCAAACAGGAAAGAAGAGATGAATATCAATATATGAAAGAACAACAGTGGTAAAAAAGGAAAGTCACCATACAAACAAAGAATTTTAGGATAACTTTATATTTCAAGAAAACAAACATATAAAAGAACAGTGTGGGAGAGGACAGTGTGAGATAGAAAAAGGAAAAGAGAAGCATAAAGAGACAAAGAAAGAGAAAAGCATACACAGATAAAGAGAAAAAGAGACTATAAAATGTAATATTTTTACCTTAACTAACTGCTGAATGGATTGGTCTTTATCATCCTTAAACTGCCCCAAGAAATGGCTCACAATATCCATAAAAGGATCCCTAGACATCCTTAAAACAGAGTTCTGATCTATCATATCTTCCAAGGGCTTTCCCTGGTAGTCTAAGATTTTTTCTATTATCTTGTAAGCAGCTTCATTATGGCCTGAAAAAAAAAAATATATATATATATAAGTAACTCCAAAGTGCCTTGGAGAAAAACAATTATAAAGCAATTATAAAGTAATAATGTACTTTGAACATATAAAATGATATATATCAAACTAAAATATATTTTTTTTACCAAAGTTTGTAACAGTCTTTGGTGTTCTCCAAATCCCTTCTTCCCAGTAAAACTGGGAAAGAATCTTGGCGTTGACGCCTCCAGTGCCAAATGTCTTGAAATGGTGTGCAAATACTGCATTTACTTGGCCACAAAACCAAACCAGCAAATTCATGTATCTGAAATTGATTAAATTTTATGGGTTAATGGTTGAAACAAATAAATGTCCAGCCATGTGACTGGAAGAGTGCCAGCTCCAGGGAGGATGTCATTTCCCTTTTCAGCATACTAGTCGTGGACATTGGAAAATGGCAAAAAAGCCCACGAGTGTTCGTGTGCGCTCAGCCTACATGCTGCACATCCAGCAGAGTGGCCAATTATGTAAGCTTAATACCCCTATTATGGTCCATGTAATTGCATGAACTAACCAGATTCAGCACACAGGGGTTAATGCAGCACTAGAGGGTTTCTGATGGAGATTAGCCACTCCAGAAAGTAAGCCTTATACTCTGACTTTGGGCCATATTATATATATATATATATATATATATATATATATATATATATATATATATATATATATATATATATATATATATATATATATATAAATAATATATATATAATATATAAATAAATAAATAAATAAATATAAATAAATAAATAAATAAATAAATATAAATATAAATAAATAAATAAATAAATAAAATAAATAAATATAAATAAATAAAATAAATAAATAAATAAAATAAATATAATATATAATATATATATATATATATATATATATATATATATATATATATATATATATATATATATATATATATATAGTTGTTGAAAAAGCAGGAATCTAGTCCTATACTTGATTACAATTAAATATTCATAAATATACTAAACATAAGTATATGAAACATGAATTTCAAAATCATTATCCTGTTTCCCTCTCTGACTGGATGGACCCCTCCCACCATTCGGATGCCCAGGGCACTGCCACGTCACCAGTCCCCTCTGCATGCCATTGGATCTGTTGCCCTATTTGGAAGCAGAACAATTTTTGGTATCATCATAGAAAATGGCTAAATGATAGGGATATCTCCCCTAGATTTAAAATGTAGGGGATTTTTAAAATTTTTTTTTTTTTGCGAGTTTAATAACGAAAACAAAAATATTTAAAAATCAAAATTTTTCTACTCTCTTCAAAGAAAAAAGTCAATCAAATAGCCAGCAGACGCAGCATTGTGTACACTAAAATGAAAATGAAATTAGCCACAGTGAGGATTGAAAATAATTGTAACGTTTCGAACTCTTCATGAATTCGTCTTCAAATAAATCCGAAATGAACATTACGATTATTTTCAATTCTCATGAATTGTGAAACGTGTGTTTCGATATTATGAACAAACGATTTCAACTTCCCAGGAAAGAGCTTGTCCAGGCAGGTTTTCCGAGTCTTGTGAGGAAGCCAAAGCAGTCACCAGCAATTACAGAAGCCATGGCAATCGCTTCCAAGTCTGGGACACGCAAGCAGAAGCTGTGGTCGATATTGCATTTGCCGTGATTCAGCCATGGAGCTTGGCAAGATGGGGGTGATTAGGCTTAATGTGAAGATGGAGATGATGATAGTAAACCGAGGATGAGGACCTCTTTCTCCTACTCTCTATATCTATTCTCATGCATGGAAAATTTACTCCAATCTATCCCTCTGGCCGGGTGCTATGAGTAATATTGTCTTCTATAAAGAATTTTTAGCAGCTGCATGAGGAATGCTATGTTGTGAAAAGTCTTTATTCTGACCAAGTAAAGAAATGAGTTTCTTGACAGAAAGGTACCAATTATGAAAATATTAAGACTAAATTTAACCCAATTCTGACAGGAAAATGTTGCATTCACTTCAGTATTGCTTTGTTAAATGTTTCTGTACATAGATGGCTCTCCCAGTGCTTAGCCAAAAAGGAGTCAATTAATAGATCTTGTGACCTCACATTTCCTTGAAAATACTTTTTTTACTAATGCTATCGACAATTGTTATTTTTGTTATCAACATTATAATTGCTATATTGTTATTAACATTACTAACAGTAGTATTAAATACCAGAAAATATTATCGAAAATCAAGGAAAAGGGAAAATAAGTGAAACAGGTAGTTCCTATAATTGGCTCATTGGTGACTTAGTACTTGTTGAGCCATCTATATGTAAAAACAATTTCTAAATGAAACACACAATTGGCATGGCACGTACACAAATGCCATCCCTGGTAGCACGTGGTTAATGGAACAGACAATTAACCAATTGCTGTCAGGAGACATATCTCCTCATAAAGACCAAACACATACACTGGGTGATGCCATATCACATCGAATCTAAATCCAAATCACCGCAATGTCTTGCAAGCCCTACCACAAACTGGACAACTACCTAGGCATGGAGCAGCACACACTAATGAATGCCCTTTCTCACCTGAATATATGCTGACATTTAAATATAATACTTTTTATCTCTTGATTTTTTTTTCTCATTTTCTTCACTTTACATGGTAATTATCATATCATCAGACAAACAAAGAAACCTGTTAATAGATATGAAACAAGAAACACCCACTTTGCATGAAATCCAATACCACATCATGTGATAACCAGAAATCCTCACCTGGCAATCGAAGGATGTCTACAATCCTCTCAATGATCAGATCCTCCTTAGGGAGTGGTATGTACTGGATTGAAAGGAAGGCCGCCATCTTCCCTGCTACTTCTTGAATTGCGTCAGCCATGGGGACAACTATCTTAGTGAACACTTTAATGTCTTCCCGGATCATCTTCATGTCCTGCTTTAGCAAGTTCTGAGCTGATACATAGGGGATGTGGCCTTCTCGGCACCATCTATGGAAATGTTAATGTAAAAGTTAATGCTTGAAACAAATAAATGTGCTAGACATCATAGGTCATATAGCACTATGGTAAAGTATTATATCAAAAAGGTAAAGAGGAGTTAAAGATTAGGATAAAATGTGTTAGATGTCACAGATTAGAGAGAGTATAGGATAGTATGGTCGTGAAGAGGGAAAGAGGGGAGTACGTAACTAGAGCAGAGATTAGTAGAAAGGGGAGGGTTCAGGGAGTAGGGCAACTGAATGAATTACAGTATATCTGTCACTGGGGAAGGTATAGGAACAATGTTGAAAAAGTAGGAGAAGAATCCGGGGAGAGAGGGCGGTGTTTGATGTCAAAAACTAGAGTGGTGTAGGAATGACAATGTTTGGTTTGGTAGCCAAAAAGCCAATATTTCTGACATTGACAAGGAAGGAGTTGATATGGTCGGACACGGTAGGAAAATCCATCAATATAAACTTCATGGGGAGGTCATGTCTACTGACACTTATCTTGGCAAAGTTGACATGGGACTTACACTGGCCTCTGGGAGGAATAGTTTAACTGCCACTGCATCATAATAAGCAAGAAAAGTAAGTAGATAATTTTCACAGTTTGACCAGTCCTTGTAGATAGGACAAGCATTTGGGGGAATAGAAACAGTTCCAGTATAAGTATTGAGAGAGGGGTGAGGTTCGGTAGGAATAGGTTTGCCAATGAGGTCAGTTAGAGTAGATAATGCACGAGCTTGGGATTCAGATGTAATTGTGACAAGGTGTGAACAATTGGAACAACTGCTAAAGGTAATCTTGCCTACTTGTTTTTGGAGGCACTATTGAAAGAGAAGGGTATTCTCAGAATAGGGGCCGTGAGGGGAATCACAAAGAATTGATCCCACTTGGCTGGGCCAAAGAGAGCACTCAAAGGGCTTGCAGAGGAAGAGGTAGTAGAAGGATGAGGGTGAGAGGAAGATGGGGTAGTGTGGAGTGTAGTTCTGCGGGGGAGAGGACAATAAGGATGAAGAGTAGTAATAAGGGCAGAGGGGGTAGACACTGAAGAGGACTGTGCAGTAGGAGATGGAGAGATGAATATTAGGAGAGAGGAAGGGGTGCTTTCTGGAGGTTGAGTAATAATCTGGGTGGGTGTTCTGGAATGGGTAAAGCTGTCAGTAAGCATTGAGGAGGGGGTATTAATATCAGTGGCCAGAGCCGTGATCAAAGGAGGGGCAGGGGTCGGAAAACCATCAAAATAAAATTCAGATAGGCTAGTTGATGAAGGGGCCAGCCTTAATGCCCCTATTAAGGATAAAGAATCTTCATTATTGGCCATGGTGAGCCTGAATAAAATGGGAAAAAGAAATGGTCTACACCTCAGGGTCCCTATAAGGTGTAAGGGCTAAGCAATTAACCAAGGGAATAACATGCCCACAGCTTTCGGAGGTCGTTCATGACTGACAAAAAAAAAAACAGCCTTTCTTCCTTTCAGCATGGCTCTCACATCTTAGGAATGGGATAGAAGAAGGGGATGAAGAAGATACAGATGAGGAAAGGAAAGAAATGAAGACCAAGCAAAATTTGTTGAGGTGTGGGCTGAGGCCCAAGGTAGGGGTGATCCCCTACACTGGGCCTCAGTCACCGTCTCCTAAGCCCTCCTACGACAACAACGAGCAAATCATTGTGGGGGCCATCTATGAAAAGTGATTATAGTGAGGTGCTTGGGGAAAGCGGCAAATACTTTTGCTATATAAGTAAAAAATACATGTCAAATGGTAAAAGCTTGCGCTCCTTAATGGTTAAAGGCAAATTATTCTATTACAGTTTCACTTTACGAATCCCATAACTCATATCAGAAACAAGAGCTGAATAACAGAGTTAGCATCTCGCAAGCTCTACCTCACCTGATAATGTCCATCAACAAAATCTCCTCCCCTGAGAGAAGGACGGCCAGATACAGCAGACATAGGAGCTTCTTGTAATTCAGATGGAACGGCATTCTTCCCTGGATGTAGAACTTTGTCACCTGGAAGCTCTCAGGAGTATCAGCGCGTGAATTCTCAGCGTCATATTCATCTCCTAAATCCTTCTCTTTCCGGTATTTCTTGATATGTTTGCTGATGAAGGAATTGTGGCACAGGACTGGGGTTCTGGGGAATATGTATACATACTTATAGTGTGTGTGCATATATCTATGTGTGTGTGTGTGTGTGTGTGTGTGTGTGTGTGTGTGTGTGTGTGTGTGTGTGTGTGTGTGTGTGTGTGTGTGTGTGTGTGTGTGTGTGTGTGTGTGTGTGTGTGTGTGTGTGTGTGTGTGTGTGTGTGTGTGTGTGTGTGTGTGTGTGTGTGTGTGTGTGTGTATGGAATCTGCATTTATGACATTATGTTTGTGTGTGTGTATGTGTGTGTGTAAATAAATTCATAGGGTTTTCCCTAGTTCTGAGTAACCCTACCATACACTGTGACTTATCTTAATAACATAAACATGCACATGTATTCACAAACCCATAGACACATTATTTTTTTGTCTTTCCAACATTATATTTTAGAAAAAAGAAAAAGAAAAAAAAGTTTACTTCAAACTGTCAATGCTAGCTTCAGCCTCTGAAATATCTCTCGCAACACTGCAATTTGCCGAGCTCTGAGCACTGGACTTGTTTACACTTCTCTTGCCCTGTTGATATAAAAAATATGAAGTCACTTTCCATACACCCTTGATCTCTGACGAAGCTGGACCCACTGGTGCCAGATAACTGCACTATGTATTTTTATTTTATCAATTTTGCTTACAAATAGATGACTCAAGTTGTAGGTCTAACTGACATCAGTTATTCCTTTAATTTTTTTATTTTCTTCAAATGAGAGAGAGGGGGAGAGAGAGAGGAGAGAGAGAGAGAAAGGAGAGAGAGAGAGAAAGAGAGAGAGAGAGAAAGAACGAGAGAGAGAGAGAGAAGAGAGAGAGAGAAAGAACAAGAGAGAGAGAGAGAGAGAAAGAACAAGAGAGAGAGAGAGAGAGAAAAGAGAGAGAGAAAGAACAAAAGAGAGAGAGAGAGAGAGAGAGAACAGAGAGAGAGAAAGAACAAGAGAGAGAAAGAACAGAAAGAGAGAGAGAAAGAACAAGAGAGAGAGAAAGAAAGAGAGAGAAAGAACTAGAAGAGAGAGAGAGAAAGGAGAGAGAGAGAGAAAGAACAAGAGAGAGAGAAAAAGAACAAAGAGAGAGAAAAAATAACAAGACAGAGAAAAAATAACAAGAGAGAGAGAAAAAAATAACAAGAAAAAACAAAACAAAACATGAGAGAGAGAAAAAAAATAATGAGAGAGAGAGAAAAAAAATAACAAGAGAGAGAGAGAAAAAAGAACAAGAGAGAGAGAGAAAAAAAGAACAAGACAGAGAGAAAAAAGAACAAGAGAGAAAGAGAAAGAAAGAAAGAGAAAGAGAAAGAAAGAAGAGAAAGAGAAAAAAAAAGAGAGAAAGAGAAAGAAAAAGAGAGAAAGAGAAAGAAAAAGAGAGAAATAAAAATCTTCAACAACCTCCAAAGTATCATCTCCTGTGATGCTATTGCGAGCCGATCTGTTTTTCCTCTTTACACCTCTTTTGCTCTGTAATTATGAAAAAAACGTACATCAAACTTAACTCTATATTTCTACATCTATAAAAGACATTGAATAACAATACATTATACCAACATATACTTCTATTACCATGTAAGAGAGATAGGGAAAGAAAGAGAATTGAGGTCAAGTGAAAAAAAAAAAAAAAATCACAAAGGAGAGAGTGAATGGTTCAAAACTGTAACTTACGCCATTAGTGTTATTCATCCCCGTCTCAGAGTCCGACGATTCCTCTTCCATTTCTATGATCGACTTACTCATTTCGGATGTTAGATATTTACTCAAGGTGTTCTCGTTCACTTTCTTTAATTTCCTGTGTTCCACCTGTCATAAGTCACAAATGTTTAATTAATCTAATTGTATACAATATGTCACAAATACTCAAATGTAACAGATCATATTTCTTTAGGATTCATCCCTGCAATTTGTAGTTATATGAATAATGATAATAATGATAATGATGTTGATAATGTTACCATTAATAATAACAATATTGATGCTATAGTAATGCTACTACAACTACTACTACAGACAACAACAACTAATAGTACTACTAATTCTATTACTGCTACTACTATTAATCACAATTAAATTTCACGTTACACCAATCTATCACCAACCTTATTCTTTAACCTATTCAACAACTCCTCTTTTTGGGGGGTCTTTCGTTGGCGGCCCAACGGGGTTGAAACCACTTGCTCTCGCCCACTGTGTATCAGCTGTACATCTCTGTGAGGAAGAGATGAAGGAAAGAAAACAATGATACACATTGGAAGGAAGCATGGATGGAGGAAGGAAGGAACAGAAAGATGTATGTAGAAAGGAAAGATGGAAAGAAAGACAGAAAGAATGGAAGAGGATAAATGGAAAGAAAAAATAGGAGGACTGATACAGGAAGGAAGGATAAAAAGTGAAGGATAATGGTGGGAGGAAGAAGAGAGAGAAGGAAAGGATAGATAAAGGAAATTAAGATGGAAAGAAGAGAAAGATGTATGGGATATGGATAGATAGGAAGAGGAAAGAAAGACAGGGAAAATAGATGGATGGATGATAGGTGGAGGGAGATGAGATGGAAAGAAAGAAGAGATAGAAGGATGGGTGGACAGAGAGACAAAAGGGAAAGATGGATGGAAGGAAGGAAGGAAGGTGGGAATGAATAAAAGCAGGGAACGAAGATAGAAAGAATGGATGGAGAGAAGGGTGGAGAAGGATGAAAAATCTAATAGTAATGCAGGGATGGAAAAAATGAATGGGAAGGATAGAATGACAGAATGATGGAAAGGTGGCAAGAGAAATGGAGGAGAAAAGAGGAAAGATGGAAAGCAGAAGGCAAAAGCAAGGAAGTATGAAATTGCAAGGTTGAAAGGAGGAAGGAAAGGAAAAAAGAAAGGAATAAAGAAGAGGATTATGTTCCAATTTGTGAAAACAAATTTGGATGCCTCATTTTGCTTCTTTCAAAAAGTCAAAGTTTACAGAATTATGTTTTGTAGATGAAATAAAAAATACATAATGAATAAGCATATATACTAACTATGAGAACTATAGATACTAATTATATTAATAGAAGAAAGACAAATATACGGTAAGCCTATGGTTGCACTCTACTCATCTTTCTGCTACTGATGAGTATGTATCTCATCAATTTTGTTATAAAGAGGGGATAAGAAATAAAGGGAGATGAAATAAAGATGGGAAAGGTATGTTAAAAATAAGAAAAGAAAAAAAGATTTGAGAAAAAGCTATGAAAAAATAACACACCTTGGGGTCTCAATAATAGATGCCTTAGGTTTCCAGGTCTTGTTTCCCTCCAATGGCATGAAAGCCACTTCCATCCGCTGCAGGTATGTGACCCACAGCCTGAACACCGTCTCCTGAAAGTTCTTGGAAGCCCCACTGGCACGCAAAGCCTGTGTCCACTCAAACAAGACAATGTTAAAGGCTTCATATGATGTCCAATCATTCTGAGGTGCCTCTGAAAAAGGATTGCGGACACTGATATAGCTTATCTGTGCGTCACCAAACTTTAAAATACTGCATATGTATAAATAAAAAACTTTGGGAAAGGAATTGCTGTGTAGTCTGTCTTTCAAATACTGTGGTTACACTCAAAAAGCTTTGGGGAGGGAGATGCTTTATTAATCACTTAGAATGAATTTGCCATATGGTGTTCTGTCACATACTCAAGGATTAATATAACTTCTACTTTTTCCTACTACTTTGATTACCACTGATACTCTG